ATGGGTGAACAAACCAGCTCCGCCGGCCCAACTGAATCTGGACACACTGCAGTTGGACAACCCGAATAACATCGACTGGTCCTCGCCAGGGTTTAAACAATTTCGGTGACGTACCCACCGGCCCTGCGGGCAGTGAAGCCAGGCTCTGTCACCCGCAACCCAGTCGTGGTCAGAGGTATGGAGACCCTATAATCGCTCATTAGCCAATTGGTGCGAATTAGAATTTACCCTTGAAGCTTCACGCGCTTCCAATAGCTTTGGGAGGTTAAAGCCCATGGATTCTAAAAGGTTTGATTTGGCCTTGTCTGGCGCAACACGTAGTTGGACATCAATTGGGGGGGGTCAACGTCCCTGTCGTACATTAAAAAGAACAGAATAGCCGGTGGATGTATGAGGACCCATCCGGTAGGCAAGCCAGAACTCCGGGAACCTGAAAGTCCCAGTCGACCTGGGACTCGCTGACCTGATGGCTCAGCATCGAAGTCAGTCTGGTGCAGGCGCTCCACCATCCGTCTGGGGGTGGTATGGTGACATATGGATTTTCTTTGTGCCCAATATGTTGCACACCTCCCGCAGCAATTTGGACGAGAAAATCTTGCCCTGATCGGTCAAGAGACGCTCAGGAGCACCCTTGTCTATGACATAGCCATCGAGGAAAGCCTCGGTGATGGCAGCCATTGGCAACTGCCAGGCCATCGGCCAGCGAAATATTCGACGCCAACCAGCAAATATTTATTTCCCCGAGGGGTGGCGGGAAACGGACCAAGGATGTCTAGAGCAACAAACTCGTTAATGTGGGAGACCCGAATTGATTGCAAGGGCGGACAACAGGGCCTGGCCAGGCATTTTTGCCATGCACACTGTACACACCCCTTCAACAAATCTGCTACATCCTCTGCCATACCCAGCTAGATGAAGTCAAGCCGGAGTGTGGAAAGAGTTTTGTGCACGCCCAAGTGCAACAGTCATTCGTGCACCTCCCACACAACCTTTCCCCGCAGGGCAGAGGGCACAACAATATTGTAAATGCGCAAGCCGCCGTCCCAGGACATCAGCAGGCCGTCCCTCAGGATGACCGAGGCCACGCCCCTACGGTCCCTACCCCCATCTGTTTCCTTGATGCGGCGGAACAACTTAATCAGGGAGGCATCCTCCACCTGGAGGCGCCCCCATTCCGCAAGGTCAAGGCCAAGGATGGCGTCGCTTGCCATGGGACCGTCGGTCACCTCAGAGGAGGCTACCTCAGCTGACGCCGCAAGGGGCAGGGTGAGTCATCGGTCGGCGCCCTACAGCGCCCCGAGCCCAAGAAACACGCGCACCTGTCGCTTGGTGGTAATCACGACTGGGTGCCTTTCCGGTAGGACACTGTGAAGGAGTAGTCCTGGAGGACCTCCAGCCAACGCGAGAAGTTGGCCTGACAGCTGTTCAATCCAGAATGCATACTGTAGTGCTGCATGGCCAGAGCGCACCAAAAAGGTGTCTGCCATACAAATAGGGGCGATGCTATTGAACAAAAAAAACGATCACCAGGAGTTCCCAGCATGTGATGCAGTAGCGTTGTTCGGCCTCCTCTTCCTCCCCCCAATGAAATTTCTGACCCTTAGCTGTCAAGGCATGGAGGGGTTTTGCGATGGTAGCGAACCCGGCGACAAAACGGTGATAATAAGACGCGAACCCTATAAAACTCTGCACCTCCCCCACCGACGTGGGGGTCGGCCAGGCCCGAACACACGCAGTTTTGTTGGGGTCCATCGCAATGCCTGATTTACTAATAATACGATCAAGATGCTCATTGAACGTACGGCTGAATACGATAACATCAAGGTATATTAAGCATAAATGCCACTGAAGTCCAGCTAGGACCAGCTCCATCAGCCATTGGAACGTAGCCGGCGTGGAGTGGAGCCCCATCGGAAGCCGATTAAATTTGAATAGGCCCTGTGGCGTATGAAAGGCTGTCTTGGGCCTGGAGGCCTCGTCGAGTGGCAACTGGCAAAATCGGAAATCAAGGGTCGAGAAGTAGTGGGCGCCCGCTAGGGCATCCAGGGAATCGTCCATACGAGGGAGAGGGTAAGCACCAGCCACATTTATCTTATTGAGCTTGTGGAAATCGACACAAGCACAAGCTGCCATCATGCTTTTTAACAAGGATGATAGGGGCTCTCCACGGGCTTATGGATGGCAAAATGATGTCTGTGGCTAGCATCTCATCAACTGTCAGCCGAACATGCTCCTTCTCTGCAGGTCTTAGCCAGTAAGGGTTCTGCCGGATGGGAGCGGCGTCGCCCGTATCGATATGTTGGCTCAAGAGCGTAGTACGGCCAATGTCAAATTTCCTTGTACTCAAAAAATCTGCAAATTCTCATAAGAGCGTCCACAACTTATCTCTCTGGGACTCGGACAAGTCCGCACTCTCCGAACAAAGTGAATCCAGCCACTTCTCATCTGAACCCTTACGCGGCGGTGCGTGTGACTCGACCCCAACATTTCCAACACAACCCCCGTGAAGTGTGCGTGATGCATGGGCAAGCACAGTGCCTTGCTGAACAATGTAAGTTTCTAACTCGGCATTGAGGACCTGGATGAAAGGTTCCTGGTTGTTGGACACCAGGGTTTGGGCTCCTACCAACGTCAATCCCTGAACAGCCTTATTGGAAGGTCCCAGGAGGATCCCTCCCGCTGTCGACGCCGGATCGAGGGGCTTGCACAAGCGTAAGGGGACCAACATTTTCGCACTAAGGGGAATCCGCACCATTTTAGACGCTAGCGCTTGCACGGTGGCGTTGGCCGTGCACGTCCGAGTGAGATAGAATAAAAATGCCAAACGATGGCCCGACGGTAATTCAATGCACCCTTGGTCAATTATAATTTTTACAGGCACTATACACAAGAAATCAGTCCCGAGCAAGCATGGAACGGCAAGGGACGAGGAGACGAGAATCAGACCGGTCAATTTAACGTCACCAATACAGACCTGCGCTGTTATTTTACCCACGATACCCAATGAGCTGCCGTTTGCAGCAAAGCACGGCACTTCAACGGGGCATAGGCTACGGCATTTAGTGGGCAAAATTTGATAAATGAGCTCTGAAATTATGGTCGCTGATGCCCCAGTATCGACGAGAATCCTAAAATCGACCCCCTCAATGAAACCACGGTCGAGGCAACAACCCTATGGGCCAGCTCAGACCACTGACCCAGTCGAAGGGGCCAGTCAGTCCAATCGCGATCCGAACACCCCCCCCACCGACGCACGACGAAAACGAGAACTGACGCGATGAGATGAGGTGGGGGTTTAGGGGCCGAGTGAGTGAGGTGTCGCGACTCGCCTTAAGGTTGCAACAGAGAGGAAGATGGTCGGGCGGACGACGGCTGTGATCCGGAGAGGCGTTGTCGTGGCGCTCGGAAACCTGACGTGACGTGGCCTGGTAGGCCGCAGTTGAAACAGATGGTGAGGCCGCACTCCAGAACAGGCGATATCCTCCACTGGTGTCGGAAGCCGTCCCTTTGCGCCATAGCATCCCGCTTCCAGCCTCCGCCCCGGATTGGCAGGCTTGGACGGGCTCCAAATCCTCTGGCGTATTCCGCACCTCACAAGGCGCGGCACATGCCACCAGTCCCGTCTCCCGTTACAAGAGCAAGTGTGCCTGGACGCACCTTGCAACTTTGAGAGAGCATAGGTCGTCGTCGTCGATGGCATGGATGACGACTTGCAGGTCCCGCGCCAACGCCAGCAGCTTCGAGGACCAGGGAGTCGAGTCCCTCCTGGTCCATCCTGGGGAAGGCGGCCTTTGCCAACGCCAGCAGCGCGCTACAGAAGGCGAGGGGCTTCTCGGCTTCCCCCCGCCTCCGTGCAGGGAATCGATGGCGCGTGTCGGACGGTGGCCCGTAAATCGCCGCCATCTGCTGGAGCGCCTGCTGCAGCGTTGCCCTGTCACCCGGCGGGATGGTGACCAGCGCCGCCAGGGCATCGTCGTCCAGGGTGGCGAGAAATGTCCCCAGCGCCTCCGTCCATCCCGCCATCTCGCAGTTGGAGAGGAAGCGCTGCTGCAAGGCCACCCAGTCACCTCCCGTGGCTGAGAACTCCCGTCAGGACAGGTAGATGACACTGAAGTGATGGGGCGTGTGCCAGCGATGGTGGCGCAACTTCGATTTTGGCGGGAACTCCGCTCTGCTCAGCAGGCAAGATGGCGGCCATATGTGCGGGCTGCACCGCGGCGGCTCCCAATTGGCAGGACTCCTGGGCAGGGAACTGCGGAGGCTCCCGGTTGGTGTAGAGTTTCGGCAGGAACTGCAACGTTTTCGGCGGGAAACCCGGAAACGTTGGTGGGAATTGCAGCCCCACTCGGCTCTCTCTCCTCTGCCACTGGATCCCCATGGTGGATTTCGTCCAGAATGGATGCTGTGGCATGGAGAAGCTCGGCCAAGGTGGGAGTGTGCCGCCCGGAACACCCTTCCCGACGGTGGTGAGACGTTGTATGGCCGGGCGGCGTGCTGCTCCACCGGCGGCGCCTCTCCTCCCTCCTCCGGGGCTGCCATCCCTGGGGCTGTTGGATCATCGTCCTCTTCATCCGGAGACCTGGTACGAACCTTTTGCCTAGTCTCCATAATCTATAGTTATTTTAACTCAAGAACGTCTGGCCACTTCCGACCAGCTGTAGTGGGTACAGACGGAGACTCAAGCTTAACGTTGGAAGCACATTTATTAACTCAACACTATAACACAGGGGAGTAACTTCCCCTTTACCAGATAACCTAGGGTGGTAGACCACCAGGCTAGCTACTCTAACACTCAGAGTAAGCTATCACGGACCGGACCCCAACTCGGGTCCGGGTCCAAAAGTTGGAGATCATCTTCTGGCGTAGAAAGTAGGTTTCTTCATGAAGACAACAGCCGCCTGTCCCCCTGGGGACCCGGCTTTTTATCCTGTGTGGCGGGACTCGCTCCGCCCCTAGCCACGACTGTGTCTTCAATAAAGTGCCATCTCAAGAGAGGTATGTCAAGTCGTCATTACAAATTTATTTCGAAATATTCACAAATCCTAAACAAATAGAATTTTGAGAGCATCACAATGAGACCACATCTCAGGATACTGTAAGAGGAAGAGATCAAATATTTAGCTTTTTATTAAATGTTCACACATACCTTTACCCAATACGCACTAAATAAAACTATATAAATGTACGTATATCTCGGACGATAACGCAGTTTATTACATGGTAGGACTTATCAAAATTAATCAAATTTTACTTTTATTAGAAATCTGCAGTTGCTCATGAGTGCAAACCTTATTGCCTTAGAAAACAAGTTTCTAAAATAAAAACTGATGAACAAGTGCAGAGTTTAGAGCAAAAAGAATACAACACTAACGATCTCTAGCAGTGTACAAGGGACACTCGACAGCTACATGCAGCTGAATCCACTATCGGTGGCAACAGCAAACGTTTATTTTTAGCACTGTGGCAGTAATGGATTCGGTGTCTGAAGAGAAGGCAGATGCAGGGTTGGGTGGGTGGTTCGGCAACCAAGCGTGGATGTCGTGCACAGTCGTCGCTAGCCTCTGATTTTCGAGGTAAATCCAGGACGGGTCAAATTAACGTTTACGCTGCAGAACACCCTGCATATCGAGGCAAGACGCGTCCGTCCATCCTTGGGCTGAGAGAGTGCAGTAAACAGGTGCAACGTGCGCTGGGGTGCGTTGATCGTGAAAATACTGTCAGACAGCACGAGCTGCACTGCGAGCCTAGAGCTTAAAAGGAATATGAAACAAATTAAACGGGAAATAGGTGAGCGTAAAAGCTATAGTTTTGAGGCTGATGCAGTTGGCTTTGGGAATGGTGGGGTTTATACTGCATGATGCAAAAGTATGCACATCGCACATTCCACCACCAGTACTGTTCCTGGTTGTAGTGATGACATTTGCATTTTCATTTCCCATCATCACTTTTATTATCTTCCACTTTTCCTGCCATACTCCTGGGAATGAGAGAGCACTTGGTGAGCGGGCGAGAGCCAGAGCCTGATTTAAATGTACAAATTCATTGGCCATATGGGTGAAAGCCCTCTTTCTAACTAACACGTGTGCTGCTCTCAGTTTTGTGGGACTAAATAAGGACCACAAATTCCCCCTTACGGAGCCTGGCTGACAAAGTGCTCGTAGCACCTGGACAGGTGCAGCCTCTTCTCAGTGTACTGGCCCGTGCCATGCGTGGGGTCCAGGTGTGGCTGGTTGGACACCACCTCCACGCCCTCCCCGCGGTCGCTCTGCTCGTGGCTGTGCTTGCTGATCATGTACAGCTGTCCGACACGGTACTGCCAGCACACACACATACATGCAAGAGGGGGGGGGGAGACGTGACCATGCCAGCCACACACCATTACATCATCATTTAATATTTATACCGCTAAGCCTCCCACGCAGTACATCTCGAGGCACCAAAGCAAAAGGAGTATTTGAGATAATTACTCAGTAAAAAGTGAGTGTGAACACACTTTGAATAACATGTCCTTTGTGTATTGCACTAGAATTCTGCTAGGCTGCGACGATGTGGAGTGGTGGCTATTGGTGGAACCTAGTGTAGTGTCTTCAAAAATTACTCACACCGACACATTGTAACAAGTCACCTGCTTACACTTTATTCACCTGTTCTTACGCCAGTTATAGGCACACCCGTAACTATCTGTACGGTCACATATACTTAAATTCTTACCGCTCTAATCTCTTCTGCAACTCACTAATCCTGCCCTCCGTACACAGGGTCTTCGCACTCAGCGACTCCGCGCACAGCATCTCTGCACTCAGCGTCTCTGCACTCAGCGACTCTGCACACAGCGTCTCCGCACTCAGCGACTCTGCACACAGCATCTTCGCATCTCCACCGCTGCCCTCACCTACACTCCCTTAGACCCGCTCACCCGTCTGTCCCAGGCCGGGGGTTCAGCCAACACCCGCCCGGCGACGGCATGAGGGTTGAGGTCCCATTGACAGCTGGAGCGGCAGCGGCGAGATGTCTTCACTCTTGGTTCCCAGCAACAACTCCCCTCGCTCACACAGACTCCCGCTTATATCCCCCTCTGCTCATCCCGAGTCCTCACGTGCATCCACTTAAGCTGCCTCCAGGTCGGCGCCAATTGTCCCATTAATATCTTATCATCACCCCCATCTCCCGTCTCCTCGGCGCCAACCTCGGGTCACAGCGTAGCACCTGTTCGACCTCGGTTGCACCCGCTTCTCCCCTTAATTACTGGTGGCTTGTCTGTGCAAATCTCATGTTGCAACATGCACATCTGTTCGACCTCAGTTGCACCCACTTAGCTGTGCGCACTGCGTATTTCTCTCCTCTACACTAGTATCCATGACTATCTGGGAACATAAATGGGACCGCTAAATTAATCGAAAAGGAACGAGAATCGGATGGCTTGTGTATGCAACTTATGTATGCAACTCCCATTCATAATCATCATCAGCCATGACCCACTGTGAGATGAAAGCCTCCCCAAGCTCCTGCCCTCTGTCACAGTCTCACAACGCCACAATCCATTATCTCCACGGTGGAATATGCATTGCTTTGGCTACCACTCTGTCATTATTATAAGCCTTCTCTTTTCTTCGAGTAATGAATCTAAGGTGCTGAACACAAGCCCAACGGCTTAAAAATACCTTTCAACACCAAGCGGCTGGCAACAAACAGTCCTCTCGAAGGTATACTAAACAACATCTTTGCCCATTGTGCCTTTATTTTGAAGGTCTTGTTATGGTGGCAACGTTGTTGATGTGACGCCATCACACCCAGCATTCATAATTCTATCCCGGCCGTAAAAACCCTGTAGTGTCTGCGCTGCATCGCCCTGCCATATTGCTGCAGTCAACACCGTGATGATCATGGTGGCGGTAAGCTCGCTGCCACACACACTCTGGCATCCGTATGTGTGCCCCATTGACGTTGACGTGAAGCCATCGCCCTGCAGTTTCCCATTTAAAAATAATTTCCGCAATGCCGTGTGAGTGCGTTGCAACAATAGATGTGTGTCCACATGGGGCACCATACATGGTCAGTTCATAAAACGTACCACGTGTGGATGCTATGCATTCGCCGTGCAGTGTTGCAGATTCAACAATTAATATTTATGCTTAAGTTTATGACGTGTGCGAGGAATCACGTGTGTAACAAAATGTTGTTTCAATTCGTATGTCCAGAATTCACATGACCTCGGCAGCCACTAGTGGCAGCTACATTCACCACGATGTATGGGATACGTAAAAAAATATTCTTGATTGAATCACAACTCTGAATTGCCACAAATGACTGCATCACGAAGGTGGAAAATCATTACACCCCTTCTATACATCCACGTGCAGATACGTGTCCATTCTTTGCACGACGTAAAATATTGCTGCATCAGTGAACATCAGCGATGAATGACAAGGTAGCAGTAAACCCAGTAACCACCAGAAGGATGAACTATCACGAACCCAAACATTTTTGTTGTGTCGGCTGACTGGCTTTTTTAGAGCCAACATTATATTCATAATTTTTCCCCCTAACTTCAATCAGTGCATTTTACATATCCAGCAATAGGGCTGTCTCCAGTGCGCCCCAAATTTAAACTTGTTATTAACAGGGGGCAAGTTGCACTTCAACATAGCCCAAGAGACAGAAAAGCTAATTGCACTAAAACAATGAAGACAGCTAACATAACAAATCTAGGTCACGAGGCAGCCAATTTTAGACCAATTCTAGGCGATAGATTAAAATGCCTCGAGGTGAGAGGTGATTAAATATTTATCACCAATTAAAATAGTGTAGCAATTGGCAGGGTAACAGATTGGCAGGGTAACGGGTGCATTTAAAGTGGGGGCAAGGGTTAAAAAGTAAAAGGATAACACATTGTCTGAAATGGAAAAAGGCACGATTAGGAGCAGAGATGTAAAGAGACAGGGATGCTAAAAAAAACGATGGCATTGACAGAAATCTGTAAAAGATGTAGAGACCAACCAATCACATGAACAAGCCAAGTTTAGGAAAGGGTTATCTACCATCAACCATATACATACCATTAGGCAGGCTCTGAAAAAGACAAATGATTACCAGTTACCTTGATACCTAGCATTTGTAGACCGAGTCAGTGTGAATGGATTCAGTCAGAGCTCTCACAAAGCAAAGCCTCAATAAAAAGATGTATTTTAAAAATATATATAAACATCAACACTGATATTGCATTCAGCAACAAAATACATATTGGTTTAACATGTAGGCTTTCGCGACAGATCGTTGAATGCCAAAACCAAATCAAATAACACGAGTATAGTGACATTGCCGTATGTCACTGTGTAGTGCCGGCCCTAGAGGGGCACGGCGTGCAGTGTAACGACATCGCGGACGCCACTATGGCGTGGGTGTAGTACCGGCCCTAGAGGGGCTCGGTGAGCGCTGATTGATATCTCTGGATGGCACCACGCTTGGCGTGCAGTGCCAGCCCTATTAGGATAGGGTGTGGAAGTGCCGGCCGTAAGAATGAGGTTACTAAAGGCCATGGCACTCTGGTTGACCCGAGAGGACACGTGACCAGTTAAGTCTAGAAAGGGGCCCCAAGTGGGCGCTAGGGGTGGTCACGTGGTCGGGGTCCAGATCCTGCTCGAGGATTCTGGAAGGTGGTCGTGGCCAAGGGTGGAGCCAGCCACGCCGCAGAGAATATAAGCCAGGTCCTCCAGAGGGACTGGCGTTGTTGTTAATCCTAAAGAAACCGTCTACGCTCTGCGCTCTACCGAGTCTCCAACACGTGGACCTGGACCCGAGCTGTGGTTCCGGTCCGTAGTAGCTAGTTCAGTTGTAATCAGTGTAGTTAGCCTGGTGGTCACCACCATTGGTTGCTATTCTGTTAAGGGGCAGTTACCCCGTGTGTTGGTGTTAAATAAATGTGTTGCCTCCAAGTGTACATCTGCGACTCAGTTGAACTCACTACACACGAGCATTGAAACTGCCCAAGTAATTAAAACGATAAAAAATACCGTACATTGCAGGAGTAACTGATGAACTAGCCAGATGTTTGGAAAAACAAAACATCCGAGCCAGATTTGGCAAGGTACATAAAATACAGAAATTAATATCTGGTACAAAAGATGCATTACCGAAGCGATCAACAGAAGGTGTGTACAGGATTAACTTGCCGTGTAGTAAATGTTATGTTGGGCAAACAGGACGAATGCTCAGCATGAGACTAAAAGAACAGAGAAATATTAAACTCACCAAATACAAGTGTCAGCAGTAGCAGAACACGCGTGGCAACAAGGACACTCAATTGATTTTAATAATGTTGAAGTTTTGTACAAAACTAGCTACTACTGGCCAAGACTAATTAAAGAATCTATCGAAATTAAAAGAAATTAAAATAACTTTAACCGTTCGGATAGCTACCGCCTTAGTGCTGCGTGAAAGCGAATCATCAAATAATACATTATTTATATGCATGCCTACAAAGGGCAGCGTACTTCAATAGGGATTACTGTTGGTGGGGCTATTTCAATGAACACAATAGACAGGAAGGACAAGTTGTGCTAGTGTAGAGAAGAGATGTACGCAGTGAGCGTAGTTGAGAGGGTGCATTTGGAGACAAGCATGTGTGAGAGTTGGGGCACGGAGAAGGCGCCCCAGAGGCGGGAGCTGGAGGCGATAATTAATGAGTGTGAGAGTCGCCGTGGAGACGGCAGGACACTTCCCTGTTCAAGTTATGACGCCGTGTCAAGGAGGCAGAGGGGGGTGGAGATCGACGGGGTATAGAGGGGGCACGTGAGGACTCGGAATGAGGAGGGGTATATAAGCAGGAGTGTGTGAGTAGCGGGAGGTGTTGTTCGGGGATCAAGAGAAGAGACGTCTCGCCGCTGCCGCTCGGACCGTCAAAGGGACCTTGCCCCTCACCTCGTCGCCGGGTGGGTGTTGGCTGAACCCCCTGCCCGGGACAGACAGGTGAGTGGGTGTGAGGCAGCATAGGTGAGAGCAGGGAGCAGTGGCGAGATAAAGAAGTGTAGGTGCGGGGCGGAGTAAGCCTCTAACCCTTAACCACTGTTAACCCCTAACCGTTATCCCCTAACCGATAACCCCTACCCTCTAACCCTTAACCGCAAACTCCTAACCATGCCAACTCAGCTGACCGCTAACCCCAAATCCTAGCCCGCAATGCCGGGTGTAGCCATGAACCCCGTACCCTGGGCCGTCGATCGTGGAGAGGGGGTGCGGAGCCCCTGAGCACGAACGTTGCCTGAACGTTGCCTGAACGTTGCCTGAACGTTGCCTGGACGTTGCCTGGACGTTGCC